AAGAGTCCTCTCCTGCTGATGTTCAGGTGTATATCAGTATGTAGTGTCTCTACTTTAAAGAGTCCTCTCCTGCTGATGTTCAGGTGTATATCAGTATGTAGTGTCTCTACTTTAAAGAGTCCTCTCCTGCTGATGTTCAGAGTTATATCAGTATGTAGTGTCTCTACTTTAAAGAGTCCAGACCTGCTGATGTTCAGGTGTATGTCAGCATGTAGTGTCCCTGCTTTAAAGAGTCCTCTCCTGCTGATGTTCAGGTGTATATCAGTATGTAGTGTCTCTACTTTGAAGAGTCCTCTCCTGCTGATATTCAGGTGTATATCAGTATGTAGTGCCTCTACTGTGACATGTCTCCATGCTTTAATGTTCAAAAAGCTCTTTATTGTTCTCATACTGCCTGTACTGCAGCACCTCTTTTCCCCCTCTGTCTGAAACCAGAGCCCATTATGCTCTGATTGGTTAACTGGCCGGCTCTGTTGTGATTGGTCAACCGCTTAGAGATGTCCCGACCCTTAGCCTATCACGTACAATGTGTTGGAGCCCTAGCCAGTCGAAGTCCAAATGTTACACAGTGATGTCACTATGTTACAGAAGTAAACAAAGGGGTCCAATGGAGGCGTTTCAGGCAGGGGGGGAGTGTATGGGAGAGAAACCCCCCCCTGGAGGGAACACAGGCACACTACAGGGTAGAATAGGACCTTTTCAAACTTAGTAAAGGAAAACACACCTCCTCCAAGGCATTTAACATTTACAGATTACATTTGACACTGCTTTATTATCTGGCAGGCGGTACCGCAGCATCCGGACTAAAACCACCAGACTCAGAGACAGTTTCATCCCACAGGCCATTAGACTATTAAACACCTGAACTTTGAAACAACATCATAACATTCATCTGGCTGCTACTTAGAAATTATGTATCTAATATATCATTCCAATCACTTGTATATAGACTCTTATTGCACTATTTTTCTTTTTGTATTTACATGCACTATTTTTTCTGTTTTTCTGTGTTATTGTATTGCACTGTTGGAGGAGCCTGTGACCTGAGATTTTCATCGTCATAACTACACTGTAGCTATGAACGCATGACCAATAAAAGCCTTGAACCTTGACATTTCAAAGATTTTATTATTGGACTATCCACATGAAGTGTGACCTGTCTTTCTATTTGGAAACACTTTTATAGCTGCTTTCCAGAAATGAAAGTCCAGACTAATACAACAAACATGGCTCAATAAATGTATGATGTTATGTTCATCCGTTCTGCACTGATTATACAATCAAACCAAAGTACACTGTGAGGATTCATCACATTAAACGTCTGAGGATCTTTTTGTGCAAAAATGTGTTAGCCATATGTACACTACTTATAAACCCAGACCTTTATATAGATAGTGGTGCAGTGATGACAGATTTTGTGGGCTGATCCAGAAGTTAGCATCACAAAGGCTCCCTCAACTAAAAGCAACGGGAATTTTCAATTACATTTTGGAATACTGCAGAACATTTTTTAGAAATGTGGAAGCTTGTGTGTGTGTGTGTTCCAGTGCCTCTCTGACTCTGGTGAGTGTGTGTAAGTGCGTGCGTACTGATAATGTGGGTCCCAGCTGGGCCGGTCGCTCAGCTCTGCCAGCAGCCTGAAGGCTCTGTGAGCAGGAACATCCACCTCTGACTCCACCCTGAAACTCAGCCTGGACTTATGCTCCAGGGTGAACAGACGGACCTGAACACAGATCAACCTGTGATCAGACAAACAGCTCCTCATTGGGGGACAGAAAAAGATCATTCTCGTAAATGAAACAGAACTACTCAGGTACCTTGTCTTTCTCAGAGCTGAGGCGCCAGTTTTTTCTAGCAGCCAACATCTTCAGAGCGGAAACATTGTTATAGCTCAGATACACCTGGACACACACACACACACACACACACACACACACACACACACACACACACACACACACACACACACACACACACACACACACATAAATATTCTATACAGTACAGTATGAAATTCAACCTGCAGTTCATTTCTCACAGTCAACATTACGTCTGTTTGTTAAGGTAGAATGCAGATGATGAAGTCTAGAAGTGTCCATTTTAATGTAGTATTTTAACATGCAATGAAACAATACAATTCCCAATGAAAGCATCAAATAGTATCTGAACAAATGTGCCTTGTGCTTGATCGGTAGACTGTCAGTCAAAAGCAAGGTACATGAATTTAAACGCGCACATGCTTTTAACTTGTTCAGTAGGCCTAGTAATAAAAAGCTACATTTTATAAATGGAAAACTTGTGTGGCCCTTGGATCATGAATCATTAATACCGCTCTCTCAAAAGCTCCAAGACCTTTGATCCTGATGTCCGTTGTTATTAGTGTGTTCTGTCTCCTCTGAATGTAGATGAAGCAGCTGTTGCTAAAACTGATCTCTATAGTACACCATGTGCATATCCTTCCGAGAGTATTCTAATTGATTTTGTATAATTTAAAGTGTGT